TGCTTATATCTCAGAAAAAGTTGGCAGATATAATGCATCACTTCCCTGATACTGTACCTCTCCAAAAACCTGGCTAATTTCAGGTGATGTAATAAAATCCCCAGCCTGACCAAACACATCACTGTTCATGTAGTACCCCTGGCATGAAAATATAACAAAAAAGCAGTCACAAAGAGTTCAATGGAAAATCAAAAACTGTCAGCCCAAATAGTGATTGCAATCACTTAATGAAAGGTGGTCATTATCAAAAGTTTTAATGATTGGACGTAAAGAGGGAAAACTTTGGAGTTTTGGATAAGAGGTCATTTCTGGGAGGTGGATGCTTACAAGAAGTGATTGCACATGGAGGTTTGATTGTCTTTTATTTGTCTCTAGGAATAAATTTTTATAACCACAACAGTAAAGGCACAAAGATTAAATGGAATCAAAATAAGTTTATTGCAATGATCATCTAGACGGGTGCAAGCATGACATACAAAAAACAGGTTGTGCACTTTAACTTACTGACAGTGGATTTGTCAAGACTTCTTGCATAAAGGCAGCAACTGTTAGTGGACCTGATGCCTGTGAATGCAAAGACTGGTTTATCACTACAGATAGCTCCAAACTTACGTGAAGAATAAGGGCTAATAAAGCCAAGGATAGTAGTCCTCCTGGCCATCTGGCCATGACCTCTGATGCATAAATAGTAGCCTTTTAGCAGGCTTGCTTGTTTGGGTCACCCACGAGTATCTTGGCGGCCATTCTTCTCACCAAGCTTTGCCGGCTCTGCTGCCAAGATACTCATGTATGCCCCCAAACAATTGAGCCTGCTGGAAGGCTATATAAATAGAAGACCTCATTATATATTAGGTCAAAGTGAAGGCTTGACTTTTGGTTTAGGGTAGTGGAACAGTTAGTGGGGTTAGTATTTAGAAATCATGCAGAGATCTGGACCGGCATCAAGTTTTGGAATTGAAAAGTGGTATAAAGAATTGGAGTTTCTAATTTATAGTTGTTCAGTAGTCTGGAATAGGGTAGACTTATTTGCTGTTTGGTCTCAAAAGGGTAGCAGTATTGTTTTTGAACATAATGCGGGTATCGATGTTTGGACAAGGGGGGCAGGGGGTAGCATAAGATCCTTGAATTCTTGATAAACTCAGCTCCACCAGCTTCAAACAGCTCCTACTGGCAGAATTTCATGGGGGAAAATGCTAAAGATAATAATTTACCTCCTCTATTTAACACTTGCAGAGGTGGCGCAGTCCTCTAGGAGATGACCTTACACGTTGTAGGTCGTGGGGGGGGATCAAGGGTCCGACTTCCAGCCTAGAAAATTTTAATTTTCCCTGTTTTATTTTTGTGTGTTTCTTTGTTTGTTTTCCCATCTGTTTTTTTACCTATTGGCTGGTTTCAGTTTTATTCACATGGCTGCCCTGTTCTAGCTTCACTAGGTGTTGCAATACAGGTATTTCCAGTAATAAAGTATCCCTCTCTGGGGTTAACAAAACTGCAGTTTGGGGAAAAAATTGAGGTTTAAATCCCCAAAGAGGGGACAAAGGAAGTTTTTGAATGCCACACCTATGCCCGAACCCTCCCCCACCCCCGCTCTCCATCTAATCTCTCAATATTAATACCTGCATAAAGAGTGGGATGTCCCTCAGTCAATTTTCCCAGCTGATATTTAAGCAATAGACCACACTTTCTATGGGTTTACCGGCGTGATAACCCACGCGGGATGTTGGGAGAACACGAGAAAAGCTTGTAAATCACGAGCCGAAGGCGAGTGATTTACAAGCTTTTCGAGTGTTCTCACAACATCCCAAGTGGGTTATCACGCCGGTAAACCCATAGAAAGTGTGGTCTATTGCTTTTATAAAATAACTTCTAGTAGAATGGAGTCTTTTAGGTAAAAAATATGGTTTTAGTACCGTGATCAAGTCACATCTTCTCTCTAAAGTGATCATAAGCCAATCATAACTCTCGATTTAATAGCGTTGAACTTTCTCAAAACTCAGAAAACTCAGTTCAGTCAAACAACAAACAGCAGCACTTCAAAACACGAGTTTTTGCACTCATTACATGATAACTTATATGAAAGCTGTTTTATAGGAAAAGTCAACACAAATTCATGCGAACATAGAATGAAAGAATAAGTTCATGGTTTGTTTACTACAGAAGTAGAAATTAATTGGACATCAGACTGTACGCAGCTGTATTTTGTTGAGTCGATCCGTAAGAATTTCATTGTTACAGACGGAACTGACAGCTATTGTAATGGAGGACTTCATTCACTTTTTACAAGCCGCAGTGGTTTAAGATCTGTTTTCTGGACTTTACAATGATCAAGAAATGCTGCGGTAACGACGTGGCTGCATTTGCGAAGTTGTCGCATGTAACTTTATATGCACGTACAGCGACCGATGGAAATATGTCAGTGGTCAAAGGTTTCTTTGCCGTAGCCACATATTGGCGTTAATATTTGTCGATTCGTGAAGTCAGGTGGTTTGAGGTAGGTTATGGCATCGATATCACCGAATAATTTCTGCAAATGTTGGAAAAAACCAGCCCGAAACTCTGACATCTTTCATCATCGTTGGCAGCTTGTTTACTGAACCTACAGCGGGCGATTTTGTACCATATCTTGATCAGAGATCTCTTTTTGGAACAATTTCTTTCATTAAGGAATTTAATTTTGACATAAAATAAATCAAGAATGCTAAAACTATCCGTTTTGTTGCTGGTTGGCACATGGTTAAGTTTTCCTAGAGACTCTCTACACCAGAAATTCACTCAGTTGTTGTCTTTCTCTGCGATTGGCATCGTCGTGAAATGTAAACTGTTTTCCAGCTTTGTTGTACTTTATAACTTCTAAAGCTATGGCAGTAGCGAATTGTGAGGCTCAGTAATAAAATGTGGAAACCAACGCTTTTTAATATTAAGAAGGGCTGGGTAAGTAACTTGTTCTGTTTTTTAGCCGTTCTAAAATCGTTGTTTGCAGATCAATCCGGTTTTGTTTATGGCTCGTGGTCCGGATGCCTTTTTCTATGGGTTTACCGGTATAATAAACCATAGGTTTTTGACCGATCAGATCACGCGTACTATCTCAGTTATTTTATAAATATAAATAAATCATTATGTTACTTTTTAGATTTAACTTATTAGTAATCTCCACATTTCAATAAGGCCTTCAAGCTGTGTAAGAACATAGACCTTTCTGCTAATAAAACATTCGAAAAATTTTACCTTGATCCTATTACCCAGATGTTCTTGAAGAGTGGAGTTCAATGGACTGCTTGCCAAGGAGAAACATCGATACAACCTGAATCCACCTACTGATAAAAGTAAATAGAATTTCGAAATAAAAAACCAAATCTGTTAGACTTGATAAATCACTGGAAAAAAACATTAGACCTGCGATATGTTTGGAAATAAGCCGTTTTTTGATCCAACTCATGCGAACAGCTGTGTTGGCAGCCATATTGGCCGCTTAGGGCATCAGAAGACTGGGACTTTTTCCAGCTGGGAGGGTTAACCACCCTGGGGCCCTGGGGCCCAGTCAGAAGTAGAATGCCATGTCGCTGTTTTGCTTTTTATTTGCTCTTTTCATTGCCACAGTTGCAATTTCAGCTCATCTTTTGAGTCATTTCTGGCCATTTCACCCGGGGGGGGTACTTTAGGAATTTCTGGGTGGGGATGTGCCGCTGGGACCCTGGAACCCTTAACCTATACCAGAGCTAGTTCAGCTGAATTTTGCTACCCTATACTAGAGTAAACTCCCCAAATCCCCCTATCCTAGAGTAGCTGTTTCCCTAGTCTACATAAAATCTTCAACCAACTGATCAGTTTCCTGAAAAATGATACCCTATTCTAGACCCAAACGCTCTGATTTATATACCCTATCCTAGAGTAAACTGCTTGAAAACCATACCCTTCACAGCGGCACATACCTATATAGCCCATATATGGCAGTACCCCCCCCGGGGATTAACACCTACGGTTCAATTGAAAAAGCTTTCAGTTACTTATTCCAAACAATCAGGGCCACCCAACGAGAATATAGTTCAAAACCACTTTAACATAGCATTGTTAAACGTATTTTAGTATTTAAACGGTAGATATAGGCACATTTTTATCCCCTAAAAATTTTTCATCTGTTCAGATTTCCTAGCTGAAAGTCTAGTGATCCGAAAATTATAGGGATCAAAACTGACCTTTTCGAAAATTCCAGCCAGAAAAAAGGCTTCCGAAAATTCAAGGTGACCTTTTTAGGGTAAAAATCCGTTAAAAATAGGCAATAAGACCACTTTTTAGAGGTTCGAAAATCCTAGGTGAGGCAGGCAAGCAAGAAATTTTGCAACAACTGTTCCGAAAATTCTAGATCTCAAATCGTCTTCCGAACAGATATTTTCCGAAAATTGTCGTTGGGTGCCCCTGAACAATGATTACTATAATTAATGCTACGCGCATTGAACCGATTTAATTACCATCGGTGAATCCCTTGGTTGGTTCGAAGCCTGACTGTTCAAGTGAAAATTTTCACTTTTACAGCTACAATCTCAATTTCAGAGTACCAACACTTGCAGCGGCGTGACACTTGAGCTGACTCCTCTATTTACCATAATTACGTGTACTCTAAAAAAGGGTGTAAGACTCGCATGGAAGGTGTAATTACTGGGCTGCCTGTGCGCCCAGTCATAAAATGGGCTTTCGGTCGTCTGCGGCGAAAAACGGCCTCCCGGGGGAGGGAAGACACGAGGGTCTGGTACCGAGAAACGATGTTCTCACAAATGGTTTCATATGAGTTTCTCTTGCACGAACCCTTGCACGGATACTTTTTGTACCTCGTCTGCGCTCCCCCTGAAAAACCCACAAAGCGTTGCGAACCTAAAGAAGGCTATTCGCGTTGTTCGAAGCGATTCGATCGTGGGAGTCACTCTATAATTTTTTTATTGTTCGAGTGTAAGTCAGTTAGATAATGTTGGCGCTGAGAAACTCAGAGAAATGCTCGCGTTGCATTCAAACCGACACGCCGTTCACGGTAGGTTCACACTAAAAGATGACTGTGAGCGTCAGGTTTGGAACGCCGTGGCCGCTTCGTGAACTCAAAGAGAGAATTATCGATCGATGTAGTACATGAGCAATTAAGAAGCACAATTTATGAGCAAGGTATTTCACCAGTTGACGACACTATGACTGAAGACTTGATTGTAAGCCTTCGTAGTCAGTGAAGCGAACAACTCAGTTGCCGATGAATGGCACTACGCACGTCCATGAGCGAGGGACGTGACAACTTTGCTATGTTAGAAGACTGGTTTTTCCTTTAAATACTTCCTTCTATTTAATGCAACACACGCCACTTTGGAGGTCTAAATTTCGGATACTGAGGATAAAAAAGACACGGACAAAAATAGGGACTCTGAGAATTTCGCACACAAGTTTAAAGCTTCACCGGGACATCCCATCCGGGAGCTTCACAGAGAGCGACTTGAGGAAAATAGGAGTTTCATTACTGACAAGGTTTGGTGACTGAGTAGAGCATACAAGTGTAGCCCACGTCGAAGTTTCAGGGGGTTTGCTTTTGTTTGTATTTGTATCTTGCTAAGCTTTTATCATTAAATTTGTACATGATCTTGTGATCACAATTCTGTTTTTTCGCCCATTCAGCAAGCACGCTATATTGATGTCAGCATTAGCGAGTTTCAGAAACATGCCTTTGAAAGTTTTCAGCTCTCGTGATGTTTCTTGATATTACTTTTACCATTTTATGGAGATCTAAACTGAAGTCACCGCAAAATGGAAACTTAAAAAAGCGTATAATCCATTTATCTCGAAACATAACACACATGACTTATACGACCTTTATTTTCGTAAAGGTGTTTTGAATACGAACGAACACAGTCAATGTGAGGGGCAAAAACAGCATTAATATAAATGAACCATAGGGTTTTAAGAGCGTGTCTCCGTAAAAACCGACCAGTGATTTTGGATCAAAAAATTAATTTTCGTTATATTCTGGGATATTAAAGCCTCCACCTTAGTAGTTGCAAAAATGCATTTCGTTTGACCGAAAGTGATAAATATATTTTTTTACCAATTTTTGAATTTCCGGGCTGTCAGCGCCGGCGCCATAGCCGTTCAAAGTGCAAAAATCGCTAATATTGACGGCGCTATAGAAAACAAACACCTGGCTTAAAAAGACTGATTTTCTTTTCCGTATACAGATACACCACTGTAGATTTCCTAGCCGTATCACAGTTCCGAATTATTTGTATATTTCCAACGGCAATGATTTTTTCCCCAGCACGTGTTTTCGGCTTTCCATCAAAACACGAAAGTAGCTCAACTTTGAGGGTAATTTTAAAAAGTGTGGCACCTGTCTGAACTTCGCTATCTGTATGAATACAATCTAGGAATGATAATAAAACTCAACGAGGAATAACATTTTTGTGCTCTCCACGTTTTCAGAATAGGCCGCCGTTTGAATTTCCAGAAATTTCGTAAACCAGATAATTAACGAACACTCGCCTTGTCGATCTGCTTGTCAAAGTCCAACTTCATTTGATGGCTTGATGGGTCTTATCCAAGTTCTTTCACATTTTAAGGTTATTTCTTAATCATCTGAAACTATATTGGCCGTTGATTACATGTCCTTGGTCCGTTTTAAGAAGTTATCTTGTTTATAAAATGGCAGTATCCGCCAGAGTGACTGGTTCGTGACACCGTCCTGAAAGGTCTTTTGCTAAAATTAGTTGGATGCAATCTTGTTCATTGAGATTACTCTTCAAGACATCGCGGGGAAATTTGTAGAGCAAATAAAACACTTTTCTTTGCAAATAAAACGCGATGAGTCGCTAACAAGGCGATTTAACTCAGTTCAGATTAAAGTTGAAATTTGCGTGACTTTTTGTATTTCATCCCCAGTCCTTCTGGACTGGACACAAATCAAACAAGGGGTAACATGGCTACTGATACAGTAAAGTGTTCTTTCTCGGGCTTCGAAAAATCTAGTTGTGGAGGTTTTCGAGGTTCGGATACAGTATGTAGGTCGCGAGAATGCCAGGAAGATAAAACGATCCACTTGAAGACATGCCATCTTTCAAAACTCTCTGGAATGATGGAGTACGAACTGATACTAGTCAGGGCGGGGCTATTCGATGTGCCTAAACACCGGCAAGAAGAAATGTTCCTGTGTCCAAAACACAGACATAATTTGGGTCGCAACGGGCGTCCTTTGAGGACACGTCGATATCCTCTTCATTCAAGAGCAAGGTAAAAGCTAAAAAATAATCATGTTATCAACTTGGAGATGTCCAAGAATATTCACGCAATTTTTGGAATCACAATTCCCATTGGGTCAGGTAAGCATTCTACTACACAATATTTTACGTTTTCCCTTTTTTGAGGAGCAACGATTGACACAGTTGGTTATTGCGTAGCCCTTGGAGTCTTCTGTGTGAGAGGTCTTGAGATTGATGTCCATGGCCAGGTGTGAAAAATTCTTTCCGTGTAGCTTCAAGTAGCTTAAATACCCGTAAAACGGAGTACTGATGAAGAGGGCGTTTAAAAAGGTTTGTCTTTCAGATAATGATGAAATGATCATTTCGAAGTACCGACGTATGTGGGGCGCCTTTACTTTTTAACTTTCAATAGAATAAAAGAACACTTAAAACCAAGGTAAATGTCATGGTCAAGTATTCCGAATTGTGTAACAAACTTTAAATCTAATTATAAATAAAGACTAAAAGAGAAGGTCGAGGGAATAACCATTCAACGTTGTTGTAAAACCTTGAAAGGGAATCGTTCCATAAGGTGTTTATTTTTCCGGCTATTTATATCATAACCAGTTATATTTTTTGGCAACAGTGCCGCGATGTAAGTGTAGAAATCTTGGATTGAGTAAATAACAAGTATGAAATGAACATTCTTGTTTTACATTGTTTGGTCAAGCGCGTTAGTATAATTAGGACAAGTATATTTGTTACAACACAGACGTTCAAAAATACACAAGTATTCCTGGATTTTTGCGAGATTTGAAAGGTGCTTAGAATGTCTTTACAGGACTGTCTATTTTTTACGTTGATTCATAGCGTTCTATTTTTCAAAGTAAGAGATAATTTCGGTAAAGTAGCCTACATGCACGTGACCCACGAAATTATGCGAAACACTTGGCAATGTTCCCTTATTTTGTGAGTATCGGGGATTTTGTATTTGAAACGTTTTTTAACCCTGCTATATGCTATATCCTGAAAACTGTTTTTCCGACACCTCAAGACCTAACCGCGAGATTAAAAACTGTTTTGAGTTTATTTTGCCAGTTGTCAATTATCAATTCAGTGTTGGTTCTAACAATAAGTTTTACGCTACGAATCGACTTTGACTAAAAGTTAAATTCATCATAGTGATACTTTTTAATGCACAGCAATTTGCACTACTTGTGTCAAGAAGCAAAGACAAAAATATGAGGAAAATAAACGTTGG